TATTAATAAGTTAAAAAGGGCTTCTCACATTTTCCATGTTCACTTGAGTGATCAAGTCTCTGAGATAAAATTATTGCTGCTTTCTAACAGTATCAGAGTTGAAGCACTGCAGGATGAATTTTGGTCTTGTCACCACTTCCCTGCATGCCCCAAACTGAAAACACCCTACATTTTACCAACTTAATGAAAGATTTCATTCTTGTGGGACTCAAATGTTGTCAGGGTCAGGCACAGCAATCAAACAGTTACAGTGAAGGATGAAAATGATAAGCATCATACCAAGATAAGCCTCTTCCCTTCTGCACCATAATTTTCCTGGTGAATATTTGTAAAAGAGTCTTTATTTTACAAAGAGAAGAGTACACTGCAGCAGAACCAAATGGGCAATGTTTTTTTTTTCATATTTCAAAAATATGGGGTTTCTTCATCTGTTGTAAATCAACAAAGCTCCAAGTGAAAATCTGGCCTGACATTTAAAGTTATGGAAAGGCTGTACAAAATGCTGGGAAGCAAGAACGGCAGAGCCAGGAACTGCTGGAAAACCTTGGAATTGGTTTCCCCATTCATGTGATATGGAAGATAATGTCTACTACCCTTTCTAGACTGCAATGCTTTAAGAGATAGAGACTAATTAGGACTTTGGGTGGGAAACTTTTTGCATTTTTGAGTTATAGTAAGTGTTAAACAATATTCATGAAGCTATTTAGCTTCTTGCAGTTCAATATTTCTTAGGAACAACCAATGGGAAGAGATCAGATGTTTGAAGGCTAGGCTACTAAATTTCCTGAAGACTTTGAGCCAAATATCCAATGAAATGATCCCATCAAATAAGCATTAGCTTGCCAATCAACAATTTGTTAAATAGCCAATTAATGAAAATTTGATAAGATATGATGTTTTTTTAACCAAAAAACCCCGACCTTAATTTACATTCCAGATGGTAAAATTGGGTAAAATGGGCAATGAAATGTTAGAAAAGGGGCAAGTCCAGCCAAAGCCTTGCTTGTTTTTCCAAGACTGGGTTAGGTAAAAAAAAAGTGTGGCTCAAGTCCGAAGTATCCCCCCAGAACTAATGTTTCTCAGATCTGGCAGGCCAATAAGCAGACATTCAGTGTATAAATAACAGCCAGACATTTTATTAGATTTTCTCCAAATTTATCAGTTTTCAGGAATCTTAAACTGAGATTTGTTTTCTAGGTGTTTGTGAAAATATTATTCCTGAGCATTTTTGAGGGGGTAGTTAAGAAAAGAACCAAGACCAAAATTTGTTCTTCTAAACAGCCCTCTTATTTTCACTAAAGGATGTAAATCAGAGGAAAATTAGGAGAATTAGCATTCATGATGCTCAAGAAAAAAATTGTTTGCAGGAAGGGGAACTAACTGGCACACTTAAAGATTGGGGAATCATTAGCTGTCTGAACAAAGTCTGTTGTGAACCATTCCAGACAGCACTTATTCCATGGTATTTCCATATGGTTACGGGGAAAATAGAATTGCATGACAGTGAGATACTTGACCCAAAACACATGGCAAACCTAGGAGATGGCAATTACAGATCATCATGGACAAAAGGAGCAGGAACACAGTGAAAGAGAGATCTGCTGTTGAGAGACAGTAAGGAAAAGAAGACTGTGCCTTCACTTACTGCCTGCCACATTTAAGAAGATGAAGCCCTTCACTGTAAAGCATTTACATAAGACTTCAAGTAAGGCCAGACCCATGGATTTGGATAAAAACATTTCTCTTTGGCAAGCAGCAAACAAAAGTGTGCTGAAGGTAGGCTGGGTATCCAGCAATCTCCAATTCACCCACAACCATGGGTTATAGTACAACATAGGCATGTAAATTCAGAACAGAACTATCTCCTTGGTAGACAAGAAAGTTCAGGCTGGTAAAATACGATAGCTCCATTCCTGTTTTGACAGTTCTGTGGGTCCAGCAATAAATTCTGGACTGATTTTTATTTGATCCCCTCACTGTCTCATGATAAATTTGTGCCAGCACTGACTCTCAAAGTACAGATTATATGCTTCCCTTTCACATCATGAGACATTAAATTCCACATATATCACACGTTTATAGCAGATGTTCCTAAACAGACAAACCAGGTGCTAAACATATTTTATTCTGATGGGTAATTTTTGAAATTATTGCAATCAATGAGCTAATAATGCTGGTGGTAATGATGAAGTCAAGTTATTATTACCCATTACATTTAATCATTGACAGCAAGTTAATTGGACCTAATTGGAGAAATCATCATAAATAACATGGAGCAGATGGCAGACGTTTGTTTTTCCACTTCCAAATCTATCTAACAGAGTAATAGATAAAGTTTGGATGAATCAGTGTAAAAGGGCAGAGAGGGTGTATATTCCCCTATAAAGCTATAGTTCCCTTTGGCAAAGTTGCAAGTCCAAAAGGTGCAGAGAGCTTTGACAATGTTGGATAGCTAAACAAAACTTTTTAGCTGTACCATGTCTCCCAGCTTTTTTATACACTGGTCACAATCCTGAGTGCTCTCTTAGTTTCAGCAATGAGACTAGAGGGTGATGTAGGCAAAAGGGTACAAATTAAAAAGGAATCAGGGAAGGGAAAACTGATCTGCTCAAACAGATGTGTTTAAAATACAAACTTCTTCATCTGACCTTATCACTGGAGACTCCCTTTGGGGAGAAATAGGTGCTTCCTGGGTGTGACTGATTTCATTCTAACACAGAGAGGCTAGAATAGCAAGCCAAACTGTTCCTCCCTACCAAATATAAATGGTGTCAGATGGAAATGTCGACACACAGATGTCTAAGTGAGACGATCCCACCCAATTTGTACACAAATTGAGCCAAAGGCTAGGAAATGGAGCAAAAAATTATGCTTCCCTTAACAGCAGTATGTCCACACAGGACAAGAAGTAATGACTACAGGAATGGGAGCAGTGCTCGTGCTTTAACCACCAGGAGTTGTAGCATTGTGGTTTCCTCACAGGTCAGCAGCCCAAGCTTACAAGGGCTTTTGCTAACTTTCAAGATGCTGAAGCTCAGCACAGATTAACAGCGGGAATGGTCCCTTACATGCATGTTGCCTGCACTAATTAAGACTCTTCCTGGGTGTTTCCCAGGCACAGCTTCAGCTTTTCCAATTAAGTAGCTGAAGTCACCTACCCAGTCCTTGAGTGTAGGGAAGTTTAGAAATATAGAAGAAACCAGACCAGCAGAGTCTCTGCTGCTTTTTCTTTTGTTAGTTTAGATGTAATAACAGAGTCCATAAACTAGTGTGATTTTTTTTTCTGAAGTCTGTGGCGTTCGTTGGTATTGTTATCTTTTATTCTAAGAGAAAAAAATAAACACGTAAAAAAGGGCTGACATCTTGGGATACACCATCCCATATTATTGAGATGTATCAAGAATGTATCCTTTTGTCTGTGCTTAGTTCTATCTATGTGTATTTCAGATTTTCCTCCTATCTAATAAATATTTGACTGTTGTCTGATTTAAATGGGAAGTGTCTCACCTGCTTTTTTGTACTACATCTAAACTGCAAGGACAGGAGAACTAGAACATGCAGGGGTGTACTCTGGGATGATGGTGCTATAAATCTAGAAATATTTTTCCACTCCTTACATCCGTGCTTGCATTCATTTCTAAGTGCTCCCATGCTGTTAGGAGAACACTTGACAGCAGTCTAATAATAATTCTCTTTCAGATGCAATTAGTGATTAATGCACATAATCACCTTTTCACTGAAGAAGTGATGCAGAGCCTATTGCCTGGCTTTCCCCTCCTGCTTCTACAATGTTCAACCTGTGATCTGCTACTTTAAAACTGACTTCCTCTTTTTGAAATCTGACACAAATAAGTGAAACAGAACTACTAAATCCCAGAGGTGGTGCCCTCAACCACAGCAAGAAGGTTTCATACCCTGCAGACAGGGAACAGCAAACAGCATGGCATGAGCCCTGGGTTCTGCTCTGGTTTCCTGGATTGCTAATCCTTGTAACAGGTGGTTTTGAGAAAAACTGACTACAGTCAGAGTTTACTCCTAATTCCCTACTGATAGAGGGTTTATATAATGGTTTAATATTCTACAACTAAACCACAGTTAGGAAGTGAGGTATTCTGAGGCCCACTGAACATTGTAGATTTGTTACTGACTCGGTCCAGGGTTATTTCATAAATTAAACCAAAGGTTTAAAATACCATAAAAATGGTATTTGAACCACCCACAAAAAATGCAATTTTATATGGTTTAGCTGATACACAATAAAAGGATTTTTAAATGTTCTGGATTTAAGTTCTCTTATTTTCCTATAAATGTTTCTAAATTGTTTGCCTCCCTGTACAATATTGTCATAATATTATTTCTTTCCATTCCTTCAGTGTAAATGTCCATTCAATATCTTGCATAAAATCTTCATCTTCAAATGCAATATAAACAAAAATTTATTAATTCATCTGTGCACATACATTCACACTCCAAAAGTTTCCATACAGAAAAAATTTTCAAGGAAAATCTGAATTTTGATCTCAATTTAATTGTGTGAAAACTTAAAGCTTTTCAGTGCACATTTAAGCTGAATGTGGTGAGTTATTGTAAGACTGTCTTTATCTCTGGTACTACATTATAAAGAATAGCGTGCACAAAGATGTGCATAACATTAACTTTGGTTGTTTTCTGCATTTTTTTCTTCTATTCTTTTTCCTTGTTTGGGTTCTTTAGTGCAATATATTTTAAAATGTAGTACTAACATGACAATATTGATCTCTAACCATGTAAAAGTTAAGCATTTTGTGTAAACTAAAAGTCTAGTTTGCCTCACAAGCCAAAAGAAAAACTCTTTTTTCCATTTCCATTCCAGATACTTTGAGAAGGTGATTTATTTTATTTTGTTTGGATTCTGCAAAACTTCCTGACATTTCATTGAAAATCAATGTGTGGACTGTATGCTTGATACAAGGGATTTTTTTTTCCTCTTCTTATCTTCTATTACAAACCTCACAGGTGTGGGAAGTTTTATGTCCCTTGGACATAGTGGTTTTTCAACAGTAATTGCAGAAGAAATCCTGATGCCTCATCTAGAGCTGATAGCTAAAGGTGAGTTATTTACCCACTTGAAATTCTGCAAAACAAACTTTGAATTTCTCTTTCCTATAAGAGAAGGCTGAAGATGATGCTGAACCTAGCAGCTCTGGAAATGTTGCATCCTAGATGGAAGCCATTCATCCTTCAGAGAAACTGACAGAATCAGATGGCAAGGGATTCAACTTGCTGATATGTTTTCAGTAAAATAAGAACCCACTCAAATTTCTGATGTTCCCTGACTAAATTACTGAACTTAATCAAAATGTTTTGGAGATACTAATATTTGAAAGATGGTTTTTCTGCCAAAACATAAACCAGAGAACCTAATCTTTAGCAAAAGCTCCCTCTCTACAGCCCATATGTAATATTAAATAATCTTACTGACCAAAAGTTCACCAGCCTGCAGCAAGTCCACCTAAGAGTGATGAAGTAGAGTTGCCTAGGACAGCCTGTAACAACAGGGCTGGCTGGCACACCATGCTAATTTCCCTTTTGCTCTCTCCAAGCCTCAAGTCATTGTAGCTCAGTCCTCCAGCCTGTCTATGAAAGTTGGTAGGCATTTAGAAGTTAAATGCAAAAGCAATGAGTTTCATACTACTTCAGTACTCATTAGAGAACCTGAAGCTCACCAGGATGAACCTGGTCTCACTCTGTTCTCTGTTTCACACTGGTTAGTGGTCCCCAAGGGCTAGTGCCTTCTCACTGAGAAGTCACAAACACAAAGCAGCTGATGTGTAAAGCCTCAGTAGTTAAACTCTCATAACTATGTTCCCTGAGCTGCATTGTGAGCAGGCAACAGCAGCAATCTGTGAAAATAAAAACAGCTGAACCAAACACAACAAGAAACACTGCCAACTAGCTCAAGCTAAGGTCAGTTATGAAACACAGGGAAACTCCTGGACGGAAGGAAGGCCATGTAACCACTGCATAGCAATTAACTTTGATCAGAATCTATTTAAAGTGATCAGATAATCCAGAAAAAAAGAGCTTTTATCTATTTTTCAGTCTTCTTAGACTTCAGAAATCTTTGCTTTCATTACTTGCAAAGTGGGAGGACTTGGGTTAAAACTTGAGTGGGATTAGCTAAGGCGGAACATTCAATAGTGTCTCAGCTACACTTGCAGACATTTATACTTTACCCTTTTTAAGAGAAACGAGAAGTGGAAAGCTTTTATCACCTGCCAGTTTAATATTTTCATAGGAAAACCTAAAGTTCTGTTAATGGACAGCTGGTTAAAGTGCTATTATTAGTCAATATTAAAGAAAGAAATCCGAAGACTGGAAGAGGCTTTGGAAGCAAAAGCAGCTGGGAATCCTAACCTAATAGAAATCAGATACAGAAAATATCTATTAAGTCATCCAATCAATGCTCCACTTAATATAAAATCATTCTCAACACCAGATTTTCTAGTGCTTTGTCCAGCCTGGATTTAAATATCATGAGCAATTGGGTTTCTGACACTTCCCCACAATCCTGTGGACCACTCTACCAGGAATTTTTCCCCCTGATATTCTGCCTATATTTACCTTTTCACACTATTCAATGTATGTTAACATTCCTAAAGTAATTCCCTTCCTCTTTTTTACTGTCAATTATTTTTACAAGGTTTTCACTAGTTTTAATTAACCAACCTGCTTTATACTTTCCATTTTAATGTTCTAAGAAGAAAAATTTTAAAATTACAAGAGTTAACCACTTCTCAGTTTTGGTGTATTGGATCAAAAGCTCAGTGGAGATCCTAAAGCATCACAGCTAATCTGGAATGATTTGAAGCTACTTAATCTCCAAAATGTTTGAGAAGTTTTTTGTTAGCTGGACATATATTTTGCAAGTGAAAGAGATTTTATATCTTAATGGCATCAGCCAGGTCCCCTTCTTTATTCACTTCTTTCCTCACCTCGGGCTTTCTCTGATAATTCTGGAGACATACATTCCTACAGAGCTTTGCTACTGCTTATTACCATTTTTTTGCATCAAGATATGATCAATTATAGGTGACTTCGAGTTTCCCTAGGAGAACTAGCATTTGCACACCTTTGTTTCAGGAGTCTCTAGGAAGCTTCCTTGGCCTTTGTTGCTACCTTTTGCTCTTTTTCTCCTGTAGGAAATCTGTTGTATATCATCATCATACGTTTCATCTTCCTGTAAGTCGTGTTCTGGAGAAAGGTGCCAGTAGGAAGAGTTTTTCACTTGTGAAAAGCTCGGGGAAAATGATGGCCCCAAGGACTCTTCAAGACCACATCAAAATTTTGAAAAGAGACAAAAAACCATAGGTAAAACAGTCATAGGAATTTTGTTATTCAGAAGTGCTAAATGAATTGTTATTCTTGCTCTTCACAGTATTGAAAGACAATGGTTTTCTCTTCTAAGGCTGAAGGTGAGCCACGTACCCTTTATACTTTACACTTTTGATCATGAAGGTCCAAAGAGTATCACCACTTATACCATGGCAAAATCTTAAAAAATAAATTCTTGCAAGCACAGAACCCATGTCTGATGAGGATAGACTTGGTTCAGCATTTAAGTAAGAGAGGACCGCTCAGCTTAACAATAGAAAAAAAAAAAGTAAAACAAGATAAAGTGACTCAAACACAATATAAAAGTTGTTTGGAAATAATGAAGATAATTAAACATTAGATGAGGACAATTAAATGGTGGGACAGCTTACCTAAGGATATGACAGGCTCTTTAAAGTTGTAATAAAATTTGAGTCAGTTTCTAAAAATATAAATTAATGCTTAAATAGAAAATACTGGCCTGAGACAAAGGGTGATCAAATGCTTTAGTTTGTGTTATGCTATGTTGTGATAATGGTCATCTCAGAATCTATGTATTAATTTTGTTGCAATGAAGGGTCATATTTGCTTCTGAATCTACGCTAAGTATTCCTTACAAAAGAATGAAAAAGAGAGAACCCCCCCATACACGCTTCCATTTCACTCTTGTAATTAATCCATGATTATTAAAGGTGTACAAGTCTGGTAACTTTGCTGATATACTCTCTAATTTTACCTTGATTTTATATTAGAAATTCCTGATCAATTAATCTAATTCCACCTGGTTAGCTTGTGGTAGTCGTACAGTTTGCCCTAATGAGCAGACTTCTTGGCCTGGTGGCAGATTACCATTTCAAATGAACCGCCAGGTGCAAGACACAGGAAAGCTGGGTACAAAGTTCCATATATCTTAGGATACAGCAGTATAATATTTCAGCAAAAATCAACACTAGCACTTTCTAGAAGCCCCAATTTGGAGAAAAAGATCTCTGACTTAATACTGTATGTCACAATGTAACAAAATATTTATTTCTATGTATTTCAGGGTGGGAAAAGTACATTATATTTCAGAAAAACTGAACACTGATCATCACATACAGAATGAATTTAACTACAAGCCTTCTAAAGTACCCCAGGAGCATTTTACAGACTTTTGAGACATCTTACTGGTTCCTGACAGACTCTTTAGGTTTAGGAACACTGTTTTCAGTTTAAAAGGTGAGGCAATATCAGGTTAATATTGTATATTTATTAGAAAAGACTGACTTCCTGATACAGCCTTAAACTCTCAGTATTGAAATAAAGGCATTAACACAGTTTGTTGAATGGGAAAAAGAATTTTGGTTAAGAAACAAAATAGCGAGTCAGGAAGTCAAACCCTGTGTGAGTTTGACTGGTTAGGAATATTTTCATATACTGAAGAACATATTCAGCTTGCCCAATTTGGATGCTGTATAGTATTAAATTGTAAGGGCAGGATATTTTTCCTAGGTCTTTAAAAATCACTTTCAGAGGAACCTGCCTTCAACACTTTAAAAAGGAATTTAGGTATCTAATTTTGCTGGTGTGAGAGTCAGGCACCTTCTGTTTGATGATCATCCTACTTAGACTAAATACCTAGAATACATCTTGTAAAGTCCAGTTCTGGCAGTACTGGACTTACAATATCATTGGAGAGAAATTCAGACTACTAACAGTTCATTATCAGTTCTTTCCAAGCTTTCTTTAAATCACTCCATTTTAGGGTGGTCTCCATTTCAGGCTGCACTAATTCCTTAGGCATCAACATGAAATCGCCAGTTTGTAATAAAATATACTCTAATAAGGGAAGACACGGAGTTTCCAGTGGGCAAAAGAAGAAAATCTTGTGACAAGGTATAGTAAAACCACTAGCAAAAATATTGTTTCACTATTGCATAGTATAATAGGAGCAAAATCATCCTAGTTGGTTTGAAGGATACGTAAGTGAGTCAGAAATGTGAAGGCAGACCTCTAGAACCAAATGCCAGAGCTGTCCAAAAGTATCCTGATAACAGACACTCTCACTGTAAGCATTTCATAGCAGGTGTACTCTGTAGGCCACCAGGTATTTTCATTCCCTTCCCACTAGCACAATTTATACTAGTCTGTACCTTCTATGGATTTATAAGAAACCACTGCAATTCACAGTTCAAAATTTCTATGAATTCTGAATGCAGACAGATAACATGATAACACAGCTTGGGATTTTTTGTATGGTTTTTTCCTGGGTTTAAGTAGACAAGAAGTAACAAACAAATGTTAATACTACAGTTATAACTACAAATATTACATTTACATGTGAGTGTCTAAACTTTTCAGGCTTTTCTCATCACTTTTTTTTTTTTTTGATTTAGCCACAGCAGTAAAGAAAATTACTTGTCATCAACATATACATATTCATTGAAATCTGCAAAACTACTCACCCACGTGGGTGACAGTAGAAAATGACCTTTAGCTGTCTAAAATGTAGGCACCTTGTCTAAACTAGTTATCCAGGTTTACTTTAAATTCGGTGTAGAGTCAGAGATGTTACCAAGAGAGAACCAATCCTATTGTAAAAAAAATTCCTAAGATAACTGATTTTACTTTCTCCTTAGAAATGTTTTTGTTTCCATTGGCTACAGAGACACACTAGCCAGGACTGAGTCTAGATGCCTTACAGCTGAGATTAGGTCAGATTAATCCCACCTGGCTGCTGGTTTTGTCTCCTAAATCTCATGTACTTAGGAACTTAATTATCTTATATAATCACAAAACTATGATTAGAGCCAATAAAAGATGAGCATAAACAGTGGATTGAACAGTGAAACTTCAGAGGAACTCTTGACTCTAGGCAACAGTGTGATTGGAAAAATGAATCCTCCCGTATCATCTCCTGCTACAAGGGATACATGTAATTCACATTTCCTCCTCTGAGCACTCAACTGAGACTTGTTAATACTAATGGTAGTAAACAATTGTCACATGATACAAGTAGAAGTATATGGAAGTACCTACACATCCTCATCTCATTTGACATTTCCATAGTGATTCTCACATTGGTGAAGCTGGGCTGAATGAATAGTTTTGGATTGGAGTTGCTCTAGAGTACATCAATTTAAGTTGGCTTGTTTCAGACTGTGCTTTGCAGACTGCACGTTTCCCTCAGACTCTCCATTCAGCTGAGAGCACAACAGGCCAGTTGTAACATGAAAAAAGTTATGCCTGTCCATAAATCATATGTATTCTTCCTCATCAAATAAGATGCCTTGGACTGTGACAATTTCTCTTTTGCCAATTTATTTTTCAGCTGATTTATGATACTTGCACTAAGTGCATGATCTCCAAGTATCTGGAAAAGAAGCCATGTACTTTTGCCTTGAACTCACAAATGTCAGTCCCTGTGCTTTTGAGGGTGTGAGTGATTATTAATGTTCTCTTATGCTGGCTTTCTTAACAAAACTCACACTGGCTAAAATCACAACACAAATGCCTTTGTTTTCTAGCCTCTGGCTCCAAAACAATGCTCTTTTAAAAATGTTAGGAATGCCCAAATACCCAATCTTGCTCTTTGGAAAATTATAAGCATGACATTTCTCTAGAAAAAGGCACTTATCACACAAAATAATTTTTGTGTTTGATTCTATGATACCAGTTTGATACCAGTGACTTTCTTTGGAGTTCTTCAATAATCATAAGCACCCTGAGAATCAGCCCCTGTTCCTCTCAGAGTGCACTTGGAGCTGTGAATCTCCAGGCACTTGCAGGTTTCATGCACTGGCCACATTCAGAATACCCTGATATGTGCAGGGATCAGGGCTTCACCAGACACGTAACTGATCCCTCTTTGTCTCATGTCTTGCCATATATTAAAATCCTAGTTACTTTTCCAGCACTCACAAGCAAGCATAAAAATAACTGAAAAATTTAAATTCCTGTAATCTCTCTCTTTTTCATATACACAGACTAAAATCTTGCAAACTTTATTAATTGACATGCAATGATTTCAGATGATCATCTGCTGTTTTCACTGACACCAGCATTTCAGACCCTCACAAGCAGCATTAAGTTATCCTCCAGAAACTTCAGAAAGGATTGCCCTGTCCTGTTTATGACTATAGTTCAACTCAACATTCATTCTGTAATGTTTCTGCTGGATGTGCTTTCACTTATGTGTTGAAGGAAACTACGAATCTTTCACATGCTGAGATTTTTCTGGGAGTGTGAATATTACTTCTAAATATAGGCACAAGTGTTACACATTTATAATATGTCCCAAGAAGTCTACCATCTCTGAGCCAGCAGACAGCTTTCTCTGCTACTGCCGTTTAGACTCACTAACTAAAAATTGACTGTAAATTGAATCATCAGGGTACATTTTATTGTTTATTGTTGTCTTTTGTAAATCTGTTCAGTTCTATGTAAGACAAGCACAAAGGCAGTTCAGTCCCCTAAAAACTTTTCACTAGGATATGGATAGAGAAAGAAGGCACTTAGCACTGCTCAGCACCAGGTACCTCATGCAACCAGCTACCTCTGCTCCCTTCTCTTCACTAAGACCCTCAAGAGATGACTCTAAAGCTACGTGCCTAAGCTGGAGCCTACCTATATGTCTGAAAAGATGTGGTGGAAGGTCTTATATGTGTTATATGTATTTTTTTTTGCCTCTTACTTTGGTTTTTGGATGTGTTTTTTCCTTCTTCTTCTGTTTTTATTACTTTCTTTCTCTTTTATGGCCTTTGAATGCAGATTTAAATCAACAGAGAATTGAGGCCACATGTGAGGATATCATTCACATGCCTTCCTGCTATGTTCTGTATTAGTATCGTCATTTTCCTTTGGCATTATTTCTATGTAATGATAATAACAATTCTGTGGCACCAGAATTATCCTGGAAGTGTGATATTTACTATTGTCTTGGCCTTGCCTGAGCACAGAATTTTATTTGCTGTGAAATGTGTGGTATTTTTGAAGGGAAAATACTTGGTCACTGAACAGCCTTAGAAGGATGCCAGCATGGGTAGATGAGATGTATTCTGCCACTGGAGTCAGCAGATTTTATTATTTCATTGGAGTGTACTTTTTCTCATTAGCAAATATGCCTGCACTAGTCTAAGATTTATTATATATCTTCTCAGTATGATAATTTGGTCTACCTTTCTGCTGTCATTTTGCAAGCTGAGCTTAAGCTCTAGACTTGAAATTCTTCTTAATAAATTCATGCCAAAAACTTTTCATAATCTTGATTAATAGAAATTAATTAAAAAGTCACTGCTCAAACGTCATTTTTTTCTGGCTTCTCAGTGTTAAAAATCACAATACTACTCCATACATTAGAATATTGGTGTCAGAGAAAAGCAGGATAATAAAAATAGACTTATTTCAAGCTTATTTAATTATTAGAATTTTTTTATGGCAAATTATTTCAGAAAATCACTGTGCAGTTTCTTCTCTCATATTAATCCAGTTTTAAGTGACAGAAAAAAAGAAATAAAATATATTTATATTATTAACATAGAGTAGCTATAACTTCACTGAATTCCATCAATACCTATTGAGATTCAAACACATGTGCAGCTAGGTCAGGTCGAAAAGATTTTTTAAACTAAAAGAAGAGTTAAAATTGTTGCTTTGACTCTGCAGGGAAGGTAAGTCTAAAGATTTTTGGGTTTATTCCTGAGTTACCTTGAAGGTTATGGAGGATCAGAGAAATTAAAATGAAACTTCTCATTGTATTTTAAAAGGTAATATTAATGTATTTTCTCCTGGCTGATAGGTGTTTTGGGTTAACAGGAACATCAGAAAAGAAGACTAAAACAGGGAAGGGAGAATGGAGACTGGAACTCAGAAAAATGTAGAAAAGTGAATAGGAGATAACTAAACCCACAAAACAAGCAAATGTGAGCACTCCATGAAACTATCACATAAAAGATTTAACAAATATAAATATACTTATTTGCTTTTTTTTGTAGGACAAAATTGGAATGTTCACCTTAACAGTAAATTTTGGATGTCAAAAGCGTAGATTAGCTAAAAAGAGAGTTAGACAAATTTCTGAATGTCTAGAGACAGCTCTTATAAATGATGGGCCTAAAGTACACTGTTTCAGGACATCATGGGATGTCCTGATTTTGAGATGCTGGGAGTGTACAGCTGCAGCTCCTCTGAGCATCCGCTCCTGGGGACTGTCACAGGCAAAATACTGCACAAGAGGGACACTGCAAAGTATTATACCTCAGACTCATAGAATCATAGAAGGTTGGAAAAGATGTCCAAGATCATCTAGTCCAATTGTCAACTCAGCACACCACTACCATGGTCACCATTAAACCATGATTTCAGGTACCATATCCACACATTTTTTGAACACCTCTAGGGATGGTGACTACACCACTTCCCTGGCAAGTCTCCTCCAGAGATTGACAAACCTTTCCATGAAGAAATTTTTCCTAATATCTAACCTAAACTTCCTGTAGTGCAACATCAGGCTATTTCCTCTCATCCTCTCGCTGCTTGGGAGAAGAGCCTGACCACCGCCTCACGACAACCTCCTTTCGGGTAGTTGTAAAGAGCAGTAGTGTCTTCCCTGAGTCTCCTTTTCTCCAGGCTAAACAACCCCAGTTCCCTGAGCTGCTTCTCATCATACCTGTGCTCCAGACCCTTCACCAACTCCATTGTCCTTCTTTGAACATGCTAAAATTTGTAACTGAAATCTCTTTAACGATCACAGGCTGTTTCCATCTAACTGTCTGTAGTCTTTTTTTAAAGAAATCCTAACGAATAATAACACACATCCCATCCAAAACCAAAATATCTTCTATTTCAGTGAAAGCTTCAAAACAGCTTGAGGGCACTCATCCTGGCAGTGTGAAAGTAGGCTTGAGGTTCAGCCCTCTTCCTTTTATCAGTGCCTTTACCCTTGATCTGTAGCCATGGGGTACATTAAAACATCGGTATCAGATAAGATCCTGTGTTCTGGCACAGCAGGCAATGAAAGGCAACGAGCAGTTCTTTCTATGACCTGAAACTCCCTGGGAATCTGATCAAAAGATGGCTTCACCACCGAGACTTTTGTTGTGCTGGGATGGGACTCATGAGACTCATGACTGGACTTTATCTCTGGGCTGGAGCTGGCAGAAGGATGGGCTTGGTTGGCATACGTGAACTACAGTGTCTAATTTAGTGTTATAAGGGAATTAGTACCACCTGTAGAGTATCCATACTTTTGCAAAGGAGTTAATCAAAACCTCAGATTTAATTCTTATTCATTACTAATATAGTTGCTGCTATTATTTCCTTTCTAAAAGCCATTGAAATGTTTGTGCAAAGAATATGTGTGGTAACAAACTATGGGTTTGCTTTATTTTGCATGAGGTCACCACTTTAGGTTTACTATATGTCTAAAGTGTTTCACCTAGGTTTGAACTTCAGCCTACCCCAATTACAGTGTTAGAGTTCATCTGACTTCTCCCAAAAGTCTTGGTGAGCTATTTTATTATTTTCCTGATGAAATTGTGGAAATGTCATTATATTGCTACCACTGGTCTACTGTTCATGTACTTCATTTGGTGACACTGAAAAGCTCACGGCACACATCCAAGCAAAGGACAACCATGAAAATTAACCTTGTGTTGCCTATTTGGAGAAAACATGGTTTAAATTGTTGGTCTTGGTGTGTCTCAAAGGACCTGTGAAATGGATTTGGAGCCAGCCTTCTCCATCAGCTAATCTATGTGTGAGAGCTAAATAAAAGAACCTTGGGGAAAGGTGAAAAAAGAGTAAGTAATTAAATATTAGAAAAAGGGGGAAATAAAAATTTGATTTATACTATTTTTAATGGGTTCTTTTAATTGAGTTGACAAATATATCATGAGGCAGAGGTTAACTAAACGACCTCTGGTGAAAACTATATAGAATAACTTAATAAAATGTTGCATGAAGCAGAAAATTCCATGACTATTTGGTACATGGGGTATTCCCTCTCTTTCAGTTAGAGGGCATTTATCACCCGCTAACTGTGTCTTGATACTCAAGCAAGACAGATGATGTGGTGACATATTCAAGATTGTGAACTAATGTTCAGTCTTTTATAGAGAACAAAAAAAGGCAGTAGAATTTTTCCCCCTGACAGCTTGCCTCTCTAGACATGGAGCTAAGCAATGGTTCCTGAAAGTTTGGAGTGGGTTATAGGCATGGGGACACAAGAGACTCCAGTCCACTCTCTCAATTTTTTATTTTAGTCCTGATATGTCTTAGAAACTCAATAACACCAGCAGAAGTGCTCTAACCCTACTATTTTCCAGGTTTTGTATAGGTCTTTAAAGAGCTTATCAGACAATTGTCTGTCCTCTGTCTCAGTCTGGCATAGGATGAGTGTATGTTATGTTCTTCTGAAATGTCAGGATTTGCGAGAGGGGACTCTATTTTAGAGGAAACTTTAATTGCACATGACCAATTGAACAGTTAGGCACTCTAAACAGAGTCCACCTTAATATCAACAGGTTTATAATAAAGCAAAAGATACTGACAAAAATCTACAGATCAGCTGAAGGATCTGTTTTATAATAAGGTGAGTCATTCTTAGTGCTCTCAGGTTGTGCTAAACAGGTCTCCTTTGTTCATACGCAGGTAACTACAACCTTGGGGCTTCGTGTCTTCCACCTAAATCATCTCATTTAACCTCCAGCAACTCCAGAAGGGATCTGCAATAGCCATGTGCCATATTCATTGTCTGCAAGAAGATGGCTCAGATACCTTACATACCTCAGAAGGTATCAGCCATTTGTGTGGACAGCTGAATCAAATCCTTTCCCCCATTGATTGCAGTGGGATCTTAGACACCCAACACATAGACAGCCTCTTGTATTGTAGACACTTAGAGCCTGAAGCTGATGATGCCCCAAATTTTCCTGATCCATTCAGAGGGACAAAATAAGAAGCAATTTTGTTACATGTTACTCTTTGGTATATTTCAGGAAAAGAGCTTGATTAGTCGTAGTCACTCATTATTCACAAATTTGTTTTGATTCAAGAAGTTTATTTGTATAGGTGACTCATTTAGAGCAAATTCTTTTGTTGATTTTGATCAGTATTGGGTTATTTCCCCAACATGGCTATTTGTGCAAGTCATAAATGACTAACAGCAGAGTTGTGTAGTCTCTAGACACAACATGTCTTCCCACCATTCTCAGCAGAAATGTTCAGTGTTGATTGCCAGCTGAAGAACCTGCTCAGGCCCTTCAGAGAATTTGCAGCTCAAAGGCTGGCACTAGAGAGTTTCCTCTGCTGAGCCCGTTATGTGGTGACCCTCCACAGCTCACACAGAGAGGTGAGGACTAAAGAGAGCTGAACTCAAGGCGAGAAAAAACAAACCAGTGCTGATATCAAAGGAGAACAACAGGCAAATCAGATGTAAGTCTACAGCCTTACATGGATCACCTGAGATCTTTGATCATCATTATCTTGTTTCAGACCCACAACTAGAATCACATTTTTGTGCATCAGCCCATCTCCATTTTCAGTACAATGGTGGTGGTGTTTCTTTAAAACAGCATGGATTCCTCTACTGAAGGAGCCAGTAAAATTATCTGTACTCCCCTTTACCAGAATATCCTAATCTAGAATATTTTGATAGCAGCATAAAATTCTTGGAGCTGAAGCCAAAGACGGAATTTCCCAAGGCAGAAACTGGCATGGTATTTTTCTTCTTTTGCCAGTTTTCCAAATTCAAATAATCAATACCACTACCAGATTCAACCCAGTACTAGAATGATTTTTACTGCCCACACATTGCACCAAAATTCTGTGGTTTGAGTACATCTTAGAGACAATTCTGTTTCTCAAACTGAGATATTTCCTCCAAGCAGTAATCAATTTGCCCTAGGGTATTCATGCTTCTCCCTTCAAATAGGAGGTGCAGCTAAAACAATTCCCCAGCAAAGACACAAAAAGATGTTCCACATTCCTGGATGCTTCTTCTGAACCATAGTGTATATAAAAGCAAGGAAAGAGGCTACTCATCCCATGATGCTTAATCACTATAGGATAAATTATCTGTAAGAAACATGGTAGAGTCATACCATGCCTTTGTGATTACACAAGATGAAGCACAAAGCAAACTTTTGTGCCAGAAATTTTTCCCTCTATCTAACTGAGCTTATCCAACTGACCTTTGCAGGCAAGATTTGCTGGCTCTTTACCCTCCTTGAGCATTCCAGGGGTGTTGTCCAGCTTAGAAGGCATAGAAAGAAGAGTAGCCTCCTTTCTACGGAGAGGGAACAAATAATTTGTCTGTATGAGAACTATGTAAAAAATCAAAACCTCATTCTTCGGTCCTCAACATCAAATGTGCCTAAGAATGAAAATACTAGCATACCCACTTGGTAGTTTCAGCATCTTTGAGCCCAGGTTGAGATTCTGTAAAATAATACCTGCTATAGGCAGCATTAGTCAATTCATTAGTTTGTGCTCTTCTAATAAAAAAGGAAAGAAACCTGTATTTAAAGCATATTTGATATCACCCTCTACTGGAAGTGGGACTGGTGTCTAGCCATTGATAATAAGCCAAGACAAAGGAAACGACTGATGGCTGAATTCAACACCAAACAGAAATGAGTCAAACAGGTATGAAATTAAAAGGCTTGGGTTTTCACCTATGTTTTTCCTTTTTTTTTCCTGGTATACATTTTTCTCTGTTCTCTGGTCTTAAAGATGCTGTGTTTCAATTATAATCTTTCATAAAGGATTGTGCTACAAAGTCTTTTACGTTATGTCCACTATTTTTAGAGAGCCTTTTGAGATTTTTTTTTTTGGTAATATGTAAATAAATAGTTGTACCCAATTTCTCATGCCATTTTTGAAATCTATTTTTATAGTCAACTTTGCTATCATACATCTTCATAATCTCTTTCATGACCACAAATAGTAAGGGCTGACCTGTGAGACATAGCGTTCATCTCAGAGGATTTGCAATCTGAAAATCATTGCCTACCAACCAAAAAGAGAAAGTAGAAGCATAGGGACAGTTTAGGGCTCCTATTCCTTTCTGCAAGATCTATGCAACTGATATGCTGCTCATGAAAGAACAGAATGTTTGGACACCTGTGCCAGCCCAGTACCCATCCAAGAAGGTTTCATAACCATGCTTATTTATGTAATCAGAAGAAGATGCCAAGTCAGGTGGGAAAATAAGAGATGGAGCTTAAGTCGTAGCAAATATTCCCCAGTGAGGGGGCAAAGGGAAGCAATGCTGTTGTCAAGTGCAGAGTAGGGGGGGAGAGGGAGGAGGAAATTTCAGGGAGATTAGATCCCACAAATAGGCAGAGGAGTTAGCGGGGACAGATGTGGTAGAAGAAAACTGAAGGTTTTTCTGAAAGTCAAGGGTGAAAGAAATAAACTGAACACCATAAAAATACCCAGTCTCTGAAAGAGGTACCAACAGTAAGAGAAAACAGTCAAACAGTGCTACATTCCCCAAACAGGGATGGGTGCCACAGGACTGAATGCAAAAGAAAACACTAACCTGGACTTCAGGAAAATGATGAGGTATCCTACCTGCTCCCTGGATTTCAGGGGACGTTATTCAAAGGTAGGAGAGAGGAAGCACCTGGGCACCTGGTTGACTTAAGCCATGGAATGTCATTTGCTCAGGAAAAAGTCACTAGAGAGGCAAACCACCAGAGTAACGAATGACGAGTAAACGAGAAGCTGAAATAGGAGAGGAGCAGACTTGAAATGGTTGATAGGGATGCTTTCAAACTCACCCAGTCACCTCATATATTCTCCAGAAAGCTTTCAGTTTCCCCCTTGAGTCCTTCCCATTCAGTCTTTGTTTGACACTCTTACCAATCTACATTTCCTAACAGCTTTTCCAACTCCCATTCCCCTTCCTGATATCCTTGCCAAATCCAAGCAGTATCTTTCATTTTTTCCCTTCCCCATATCACATACCAGAACATAATTTTCACAACCTGAGGGTGCCAGCTCTGTGCTGTGCATTAAAATGACATTAAGCATTATGTGGACCAACGGAAGCTAGAATAGTTTTTTTGATGGGGTGGGGGTAGAGGGACAGGAGAGAAGGAAGAGGGCCTTGTATGTAGGCCTTCTTTAGCAGAACATCCTATAAGAAACATCTGATAATGTAATCATCACAGATATTTGACAAATGTTACTCAGCTCATTTTTTCCCTTCTTGATGACATATCCCAGGCTTTACACTGAGCTTCCCAAAGATAGATTGTGCATACAGCATGTATCTAGAGGAATGCAAAAGCAAAAAACCAGAAACACTACATTTGGGAGAGATTCCTTCACACTGACTTCTTCAGCAAGATCTGCAAATGAAGTTATTAAAATAGCTAACACAAACCAGTGTTATCTGAAAGCAAGCAAATATTTTATCATGAATAGTAACTTTGTTTAGTTTTAACATTTAAATCACCATCCCACAGTAACTGTGTTTTACCCCTTTGGTAACATTATTTACCCTTCATTTATTTGACTAGGAAAAAAATATAATGAAAATTTGAGAAAACATTTATTGAGAATCATATCATGTTGTTTATGACTGAAATAATACGAGTAGCAAAAAGTACTTTTAAGAAATAATAGTTCAGAAATTTATCCTAGATGCTTCACATAAAAGAAAAAGTCAGACCACTCTTCCAGAAAAACATTAGAATAATGCTTACTTCAAATGATTGTTGTCATCTTAAGAGGGTACTTAGCAGAAAATAAGGTATCGTTGGAAACTTAATTTCATTTTTCGGATTTTGAAAATACGTTTTTTTGAAGGCAATATGAAAGTCTAGAGACTTTGCACTTTTCCTTAAAAATCAGTGTCATTAAATTATTTTTCTCTACTTTCTTCTTATTCTAGAAATTTTGTTGAATGGAAGTGAGTATCAAAATGGGAAAAGCACTTCTCCATGTTTTCATATTATGATCTAGAAGGCTGGAAAGCAAAGAATTACAGAAAGAGCATGTAACAGAGGATGAGAAAGGAATGACATTTTTCTGAATTTCATCAGGAAAATAGTCTTTCCTATAGGAAAAATTTGTTAAAACCCCAAACCCTTATGCACTTTATGAAAATAGTCTCCCTTCCATATTTTCATGGTACTTCCAATATACTAAAATTGTCTCACTTGGTAGCAAAGGAGCTAATTGTTCTTTACCCTTTAGAGCTCAGATAACAGCTGATCCATCTTGTTGAATTAAATCTCCTTGGACGATGCTCAGAGTGAGATCAAGGTTTTATGTTCCCCCAATTCTCTCCCCATGCTGAGGAGGTCAGACTTTGACTCCTGGACTTTCATGCAAGAAAGAATTTACGGTCTCTAAGATGCTTTAATTTTCACAGATTTAAAATTCTTAGCCCTGCTTAGCAATGTATCAGTTTTATGTTTGGATCCCAAAATGTCAGATGAGAGGAAGGATATTCAGCAAGTCCCTGTGTTTATTTGACATTCCAGAACTAATACACATTGTGTGGACAAAAGCAATGTTTTACAAGTTTTCACATCGCATTCTGAAAGTAGTGTTTTCTTTATAATCTATGTATCTTTATGTAGGCTGTAGGCCAGGTTAAGCAGGGTGATGCAAAGACTGGGCAGAGGGCCTCTATTCACAAAGGAACACTTATTTCACTTCTTCTTACATGGCTATCTGTACCGCCAAGCTCACGCTGAGGGGATGTTTTACACACATCACACAGGGTGTGTTGAGCTCCTGACTCGCTCCTCTACTTTTATTCCTTTTGTGCAAACCAGGAGGTGGGACCAACAAATCTAACCATCAGCGGTGGTGATGGGGCAGAGGACAGCTTTTGAAACAGAGCCTACAATTTTAGCTGTTTGACATATCTTGCCATCAACTCATGTTATTGCCAAATATAATTTCTCTAGTTTCACAGTGTCATGCCCTGAAAGAGATTCCTTGGAAAGTGGTAGCAAAGCAGACCACTCTGAAGGGATGATATAGTGATGCTAACAGCCATAACATGGCATAGTGCCACGCTCTCTCTTTGAAATGTACAGTGAGAAATGGCCTGTATTTCCATGGCAATATATTATCTGCCTGAGAAGTAAATGTTGCAAAGCATAGAAATTCAACCCCGATCCATCAGTAACACAGATATTTTAGCAGAAAGAGAGTTACTAGTTGAGCACTGGCAGAGACATTTAGCAGGAAAGTGGTTACTAGTGGATATCACAATATCTTTAATGCATTGTTCAATTAAAGGTTGTTTTGTAATGCTGAAGCTTCCTCATCTGCAATTAGAGAAGAGGCAGAGGTTCCTGAATGCTCCAGGTCATTGGAAGAAGCATGTTCAACACCTTGTTGACCTTTCTTCTTAGTCCTTTGCGTAAATTTGAGCCAATAAGTTCAGTATATAGAGTTGAAATCCAGTACATACAATAAAAGACGCAAGGATTTTCATGAAAACTAAAGCAGATGTGCAGAATTTAGGCCCAACATTTCGATACAAGACCCACCTACTGAACTGCCAGTTCAGTAAGTACTCTTATTGTTTCCTTGGCTGGTCTGGAGATGTTTTACTCTCTGTTTCTGCACTTGTCCTATCTGGGTTGGTATATCTCTGCTGTATACCTCTGGTAAACAAGTACACTACTGCATTGACCACAGACTCTCAGTGACTTAAACTGTGTGCTCAGACCATCTCTCTTCTCTGTAATGATTGACTTGAACTCTACATGAAACACAACACTGCCACCTTTTTTCTAAATGCAGTTGCAATTATAGGATGTTCCTCCTCTTTTGAGATGCAGCATCCCACCAGCTAGAGCTGCTGCTCCAGCTGCAGGAGGCACCAGGACTCCGCAAGGTGATGGCAGGCACCCTCTCACCTGCTCAAACGCGATCATGGAGCAGAAACAAATGCTACTTCTATGACCCTACAAAAGACAAAATGGAGCATAATTCAGAGGTTTAGTGGCTACAGAACTAGTGTGACTGAGGGATAAAATGAATTTTGCTTTTTTTTCCTAGATATTTATTCCTGTTTATTTTAGTAGGTGTTGGAAAGAATAAAGATTTTTCTCTTCTCCCTGGTGTCATTTGAAGGAAAATCATCTTCATGCAACTTCCAAGAACGACGAAATAAAGGCAACATTGCCTGGCTTCACAAGTCTGACATTAACATGATGCTATAGCGGATGGATCCCCAAAACCAAGCAAAACAAGCCAAATGAATGACCCTGCCACAGTCCATCTCTACTACTAAAGAAAACCAAACCTAACAAGCTCTCAACAGGACTCTCCAAACTGAGTTGCATCATACACTTCCATTCTGCTTCAAAAGCATTATCTTGGTACACAATTTTTCTGTTTTCTGGTTAATATAGTTCCCAGATTACATGCAACAAAATTACATCAGTTTTATTAAATTACAACATAAAATGTTGCTCTGTCAACAAGTTTTTTTTTTTCATTTAGGTTCATACAAATGCTTATATGCATCTTGTGGTTAGATTTCAGTACAGCTGTAGAAGAACTAATTCCTGAACAACAATAAAAAAATTCAGTCAATTGCCAAGGGAAGAAAGTCAGAAAGAAAGAGATAATAGGAATTAATAATAGGAATTAATAATAGGAATTAATAAGCAAAACAGGCAACAATGAACTGGAACCTGGTGGGCCTTCAGTCATTTTACATCTAGTACCTGAAGCAGTGTGCGTAAAATCATTATCATTGTGATCTGATCTGGACTGATCATGTCTGGGGTAATTCAGATACTGAGCTACAAAGGAATAATGGCAAAATCCTCATACTTGCTGTCTTTGTAGCCAGGGGGTGCCTTAAAGCCCATAATTCCAGATGACAGAGAGTTCCCCCGACAAAGAAGATCATTTTAAAGACATGTTTCAAGCACCAATTTCAAACCTTGGCTCCAGTTTTACTTGGGTTTATCTGCATGCCTGAGGTTTATGCATTAAAAACCACTTCGCAGTACTGACAACCTAGCAATAGAAAAAGTTTTTTATTGTACTGGAAGACAGTAATGCCAGGGCTGTTTTTTATTACATTCACGGATTGTTCCCAATTCTTCTTTTTTTTTTTCCATGAGGGGTTTCCCTAAGAACAGTAAGGCCTGTGGATTTTGTTTTATTTTGTTTGTAAACATATAACCTTTATGTAAAGTATTCAAAATGCAGAAACATAGGCAAAAAAAATCATATTACAAAAAATGTAAGAGAGGAATATTTTACTGCTGCAGACACAGCATTTGTGTTTCTTAAAAAAAAAAAAAACAAAAAAAACCCAAAAAAACCCAACAACAAAAAAAACCCCAAAAAACCAAAAAAAACCCAAAAAAACCCAAAAAAACCCCAAACAAACAAACAAACAAAAAAAAGCAAAAAAACCCCAACAAAACAACACCAAGCCAACCAAATAAAAATAAAATAAATTTCCAAACTATGATCCTTCCATCAGAACTTCAGCATTTTTATAGAGGACATCAATGTGCAATGAATCTAATGCAAGCAGAGGCCACCCCAACATTAAAGATTTTCTAACCATTTAACATTGATGTAGTTCTGTTTTTATGAAGTTCAGTAGTAACACCAACAACACATTTAAAATTCTACCTCAACTACATAGGTTAAAAAAATTATGTTATTAATAACTTTGTCCTTAATATCTAAGCTCCTCTATCTGAGCTACGGTAGAGACATCATTGATAAAAGCTGGGATGAGGAAATGAATATGCATGAAAAGAAAACCATCTACCTTAGTGCAGTCCAAGCTTTGAGTTCAGTGCTGATTCACAATAAGTTCCACATTCTGAAACCTCTGCTGCCACAACAATTTCACTATTTCCGTCTGAAATTTCATAAGACCAGTTCTGACTAAAATGAAGGAAGAGTCGGAAGATTAGCCTGCCTAAGGGCTTGTGTTTGTCTAACAGACTAAGTAATCTTTTCCTACAATGAAAGAGGAGGTTTGGATAAGTGGATCACACTTTCTACAATCTCAGCTGGAAAAAACTTCAATCCACTTCAATTGACTTGTTGAGATTTAATTGTTGCAACTAGTTTGAGATGAGGTAGACATTCGTGTAACTGTTGAGATTATTCTCTGTCTTCAAAGTCTGGCTATTGCAACTGAGACTGGTCAGTTCATCTCTGTGCAGACAAGTGGTGGAAACTGTCCTGGAACAATGATGTCCTTTTACAACCAGTAGACCCTGTGAGGTCCACAAACTACTTCAAAAGCACTTGTGAAAGTTACAAATGAAATGCTAGGGACTTAAATTCAGTAAGTGAGGAACCATACCTTCACAGAAGATTTTCTGAGTCTACCATTTAAAAAGGATGAAAAACACTGTTCTAAAATATTTCCATGCCAGTCCATCCCATGAGGGTTAATGGCATACACAGGAGTTCTGCTAAATGTCACAGTAGTTACTATGCTCTAATCCTGATCCCCAACCTACTGTAGCTGCTATAAAATATATAGTAATAATTTCCTGAGGCAGGGTAATGTATAAGGAATGTCAGACCAGGCTCTGGACATATTTGCCTTAGCTCTGTTTTATTAAAGTGAAACTTTTATTAAGGCATGTGGTGAATTGAGCAATCTGCATGATTCATGCAGTTATAAATGTATTGCTACACTCACAATAAATCAATGAGCCATTGTTGTATGTTCACTGTAGAGTAGATTAAATAATAAGGGGAAAAATCAATGTGGAAGCATTATTCGACCATATGAAAGTATTAAAAATGTACTCTGAACATATTAAAAGCACCAAATTTTAGTTGAGCTAAGATTTATTCCATAAACAAGTTTCCTTGTATGCAGGGTATTTATTTACTCATGGTCTATATAAGAGTCAATATAATTAACCAAGTTAAATTATGTCTTTTGCTGAGTTATTTCTGATTGGAACATACTCTTACAATTCACACTGTAAAACTAAGGGCCAAGGCTCCAGCCTGACCTCTGTATACTCTCAGCTGTACTACTCAGAGGGAAACATGAGAAGGAACTATTCCTTCAGGACTACAACTGTCATAGGAAGATGCTAATTCATCACTCCACTGATGCCAGAGCTGCAAAGGGTCATTTTGGGTTGGGGCTAAAAGGAATGGTTGTGGTTACTCTGCTTATATCCACATACTTCTGATTCTCTCTCAGTCCTCTCTGAATTCTTATCTCCTTTGAGCACAGCAAACCTGTGTAAGGCATTAATGGGGCAAGTTAGAGTGAAACAGATTAAAAATTCTCCTTTTCTCTTTCACAAGAGAAGGGAGGAAAGACTACCAGTTCCTGGATGAAACCAGGATTGACATTGAATCAAACTGGTCATGTAGAAGTGAATACTGTCCATAAGTATTCCTGCAATATAAAGAAAGACATAAGCACCAAAATGCATTTTGCATGTGAATGGCATTGTTTTATAATAACAAACAAAGTACGCATTTCAGTCATAAACTTATTTGTTTCTTCTTCTCTAATTTTCCCATTCTCTTGGTGGTTTATTTAGATTGTTTAAAAGCCTATTCAAATTAAATCAGAATAATTATAACAATAATTTGTTCCCATTATATTTCCAATGAGCACCAGGAACAGAAGCTTGTATCTTTACCATTATAAAATACAATGTTGAAATGTATTGCATTTTGTCTAAAATTACAAGTTTAATCAGTGTAATGTAGATTCATTTTCTCTACAATTTTTCACACAAACTGTCTTTGTTACTGTTTCTAAGCCATTGCAAAGTTTGAATAGATTTCTGATCTGACCTCAGGGACAACAACTTACCTTCAAGGAGTCAAAAGATCTGTGTATCCAAGGGACCAACAGCTGACTATAAAACAACCACAACTCTCCAAAATCATTCCCAAAATATGTTTTAAAATCTACAAACCATATACTTGATAATCCCCTTAAGGATAAATAGTACAGATAGAAAGCAGAGAATTGAGACTTGTGTCCAATTTGTCACATTATATCATGTCCAACAGCCATTCCCAGAGTATATTTCTTAATTACAAAACTAACCAGTTACAGACTGTCCTCAGATGAGTGACTAATTGGAAGCAGTCTGGCAACATGTTATGTTTTCATTTCTCAGGAAAAGTAGAAAGTCAAATGCAACATCCAATACTAAGGGTCATCATGTAGATTTTGGGATTCTTCTTGCAGGACTTTGGATCCACAGATCACCTAATGCTTTACTAGAAATCATCTGTCTTTCTCATCAATGGCTGTAAGTATAAGGACAATATTTATGATTTATGTAAAGCAGTGTATTCTCAAAATACAGTTCTCAAATGGAGTTTAGAGTGCTCAATTTTATTTAACAACTAAGTTGCACATACTAAAGGGAACCCAATATATGCTGACTTGCTACTGCAACTTAAAAGGCTGTTGTAGACATTCCTCATCATCAATTCTAATCACAAACCAAAGCACGATATTCTGGTTCACAACAGTCCCCAGGTCTTAAGCTTACAGGTTAAAAGGAGGTTGAATAAAACAGAATCATAGAATTATTAGGGTTGGAAAAGATGTCCAAGATCACTGAGTCAACCTTTGGTCAAACACCATCATATCAACTAAACCATAGCACTAAGTGCCACGTCCAGTCATTTCTCAGACACTTCCTGGGATGGTGACTCCACCACTTTCCCCTGACAGCCTGTTCTGATGCTTGACAACCCTTTCAGTGAAGAAATTCTTCCCGAAGTCTGACTGCAAGCTCCCCTAGCACAGCTTGAGGCTATTTCCTCATCCTGTTGCTATCACAACACAAAATCACAAACATTTTAAGGGTTTCCTCCTTGTGGGAAGAGTTCAACAGCTCATGCAATCTCCTTTCACTTATCCTAGCCTAAGCTGGCCTCTTCATCATGAAGTTGGGCAGGGACAGCTTGAATGTTAAGAAAGGGAGTAATAGAAAAAGGATTTGAACTGCCAGCACCTTCAGATCTATGCAGGACCCTGGAACCACATCTTTGTGATGCACGTATTAGCTGTCATACATTGAAACAGGTTGGCTGAGAGCTGGACAACATCTCCAAGTTAGTAGACCGGTGACATTTATGAGGTCAAGCTCAAAATTTTTGAGTATATACAGTGACACTTGACCACTGGATGTCAATTATATTTAATAAAGTTGTAAAGATTATTCCAACTCATATTTTATGTCACAAAGACAAGCTTGTAAATTCTGTGAATTTTGACAGATTTATGATTTTTTAACAGTGTTTTTCTCCATCTCTTAGATAGTTCTTGGAGAAGATTAAAAAACCCTCTATTTTTCTTCTGTTGCATATGTTAATTACTAGGGAGACATGAATCTGAGTATGAACTGATACTCTAGCTCTGCTGACATGAAAATTGTCATCAGTCTCTTCACAACTGACTAAAATTAGTGATGGACTCGAAC